ATTTTGGGGTCCCTAAAGGGAATTTTTTGGGAATTCTGGAATTTCTTTGGGGGATTTTTGGGAATTTTGCCTCCAAACCTGGGAAATTTTGGGAATTTTGGCTCCAAACTTGGGAATTTGGGGTCTCCTGAGGGAATTTTGGGGAATTTTTGGTTCCAAATTGGAATTTTGGGATTTCTGGAGGGGATTTTTGGGAATTTGGGCTCCAAATGAGGGAAATTTTGGGAATTGTGGGGTCCCTAAAGGGAATTTTGGGGGAATTTTACTTCCAAACCTGGGAATTTTGGGGCATTTTGGTTCCAAATTTGGGGATTTCTGGAGAGGATTTTTGGGGAATTTTGGGTCCAAACGAGGAAAATTTGGGGAATTTTGGGTCCAAATGTGAATTTTGGGGTCTCTAAAGGGAATTTTGGGGGAATTTTGGGATTTCTGGAGGGGATTTTTGGGGAATTTTGGGTCCAAATGTGATTTTTGGGGTCCCTAAAGGGAATTTTTTGGGAATTCTGGAATTTCTTTGGGGGATTTTTGGGAATTTTGACTCCAAATCTGGGAAATTTTGGGAATTTTGGCTCCAAACTTGGGAATTTGGGGTCATTAAAAGGAATTTTGGGAATTTTTGGTTCCAAATTTGGGAATTTTGGGATTTCTGGAGGGGATTTTTGGGAATTTTGGGGTCCCTAAAGGGAATTTTGGGGGAATTTTACTTCCAAACCTGGGAATTTTTGGGCATTTTGGTTCCAAATTTGGGAATTTTGGGATTTCTGGAGACGATTTTTGGGGAATTTTGGGTCCAAACGAGGAAAATTTGGGGAATTTTGGGTCCAAATGTGAATTTTGGGGTATTTAAAGGGAATTTTTGGGTCCTAAAATGGAATTTTTGGGGATTTTGGGGTCCCTAAAGGGAATTTTGGGATTTCTGGAGGGAATTTTTAGGAATTTTGCCTCCAAACCTGGGAAATTTTGGTGAAATTTTTGCTCCAAATGTTGAAAATTTTTTGGAAATTTAATTTTTTTTTTTTTTCCTCCCCAGATTTCCTCTTCAAATTCCTGGTGATCGGCAGCGCCGGCACCGGCAAATCCTGCCTGCTGCACCACTTCATCGAGAGCAAATGTAGGGAATTCCGGGAATTTGGGGGAATTTGGGGAATTCTGGGGGCTCAGGGCACTTCTGGGAATTTTTGGGAATTTTTTGGGATTTTTTGGGATTTTTTTCCGATTTTTTTTTCGATTTTTTGAGGCGATTATTTGAATTTTTATTTTTTTTTTTACACATTTTTATCATTTTCTTTTGGAATTCCGGGAATTTTTGGGAATTTTGGGAATTCTGGGGGCTCAGGGCACTTCTGGGAATTTTTGGGAATTTTTTGGGATTTTTTTCCGATTTTTTTTCCGATTTTTTTTTCGATTTTTTGGGGCGATTCTTCGAATTTTTGGTCATTTTTTAAAATCATTTTTTAGCATTTTCTTTTGGAATTCCGGGAATTTTTGGGAATTTTGGGAATTCTGGGGGCTCAGGGAATTTTGGGGAATTTTTTGGGATTTTTTGGGATTTTGGGGGATTTTTTTCCGATTTTTTTTTCGATTTTTTGGGGCGATTCTTCGAATTTTTATTCTTTTTTTTAAACATTTTTAGTATTTTCTTTTGGAATTCCGGGAATTTGGGGGAATTTGGGGAATTCTGGGGGCTCAGGGAATTTTGGGAATATTTTGGGATTTTTTGGGATTTTTTGGGGATTTTTTTCCGATTTTTTTTTCGATTTTTTGGGGCGATTCTTCGAATTTTTGGTCATTTAAAAAATCATTTTTTGGCATTTTTCGTTGGTATTTGAGGGCTTTGGGGAATATTTTGGGAATTTTGGGAATTCTGGGGCCTCAGGGAATTTTGGAAATTNTTTTTTTTCGATTTTTTGGGGCGATTCTTCGAATTTTTGGTCATTTAAAAAATCATTTTTTGGCATTTTTCGTTGGTATTTGAGGGCTTTGGGGAATATTTTGGGAATTTTGGGAATTCTGGGGCCTCAGGGAATTTTGGAAATTTTTTGGGATTTTTTGGGATTTTTTGGGATTTTTTTCCGATTTTTTTTCGATTTTTTGAGGCGATTCTTCGAATTTTTGTTCATTTTTAAAATCATTTTTTAGCATTTTCTTTTGGAATTCCGGGAATTTGAGGGAATTTTGGGAATTCTGGGGGCTCAGGGCACTTCTGGGAATTTTTTGGGAATTTTTTGGGAATTTTGGGGATTTTTTTCCGATTTTTTTTTTTCGATTTTTTGGGGCGATTCTTCGAATTTTTGGTCATTTTTAAAATCTTTTTTTAGCATTTTCTTTTGGAATTCCGGGAATTTTGGGGAATTTTGGGAATTCTGGGGGTTCAGGGAATTTTTGGGAATTTTTGGGAATTTTTTGGGATTTTTTGGGGATTTTTTTCCGATTTTTTTTTCGATTTTTTGGGGCGATTTTTCGAATTTTTGGTCATTTTTAAAATCTTTTTTTAGCATTTTCTTTTGGAATTCCGGGAATTTGGGGGAATTTGGGGAATTCTGGGGGCTCCGGGAATTTTTGGGAATTTTTGGGAATTTTTGGGAATTTTTTGGGGATTTTTTTCCGATTTTTTTTTCGATTTTTTGGGGCGATTCTTCGAATTTTTGGTCATTTTTAAAATCATTTTTTAGCATTTTCTTTTGGAATTCCGGGAATTTGGGGGAATTTTGGGAATTCTGGGGGCTCAGGGAATTTTTGGGATTTTTTGGGAATTTTTTGGGATTTTTTGGGATTTTTTGGGATTTTTTTCCGATTTTTTTTTCGATTTTTTTGGGGCGATTATTTGAATTTTTATTCTTTTTTTTACACATTTTTTAGCATTTTCTTTTGGAATTCCGGGAATTTGGGGGAATTTTGGGAATTCTGGGGGCTCAGGGAATTTTGGGGAATTTTTGGGGATTTTTTGGGATTTTTTACTGTACTTTATTTTATTTTATTTTGCTTTATTTTATTTTATTCATTTTATTTATTTTATTGTATTTTACTTTATTTTACTTTATTTTATTTTATTTTATTGACTTTATTTTATTTTATTTTATTTCACTTTATTTTACGTTATTTTATTTTAATTAATCTTATTTTATCTTATTTTATTTTATTTATTTTACTTTATTTTATTTTATTTCATTTTATTTTATTTTATTTTATTTCATTTCATTTCATTTCATTTTATTGTATTTTATTTTACTTCATTTTATTTCATTTCATTTCATTTTTTTAAATTTCATTTTATTGTATTTTACTTTATTTTATTCCATTCCATTCCATTTCATTTTATTTTATTTTATATTATTTAATTTAATTTAATTTAATGGAATTTAATGTAATTTAATTTAATTTAATGTAATGTAATTTAATGTAATGTAATTTAATTTAATTTAATTTAATGTAATTTAATTTAATGTAATGTAATTTAATTTAATTTAATGTAATTTAATTTAATATAATTTAATGTAATTTAATTTAATTTAATGTAATTTAATTTAATGTAATTTAATGTAATTTAATTTAATGTAATTTAATGTAATTTAATTTAATTTAATGTAATTTAATGTAATTTAATTTAATATAATTTAATGTAATTTAATTTAATTTAATGTAATTTAATGTAATTTAATTTAATTTAATTTAATGTAATTAATGTAATTTAATTTAATTTAATTTAATGTAATTTAATGTAATTTAATGTAATGTAATGTAATTTAATGTAATTTAATGTAATTTAATGTAATTTAATGTAATTTAATTTAATGTAATTTAATTTAATTTAATTTAATGTAATTTAATTTAATTTAATGTAATTTAATTTAATTTAATGTAATTTAATGTAATTTAATGTAATGTAATTTAATGTAATTTAATTTAATTTAATTTAATTTAATTTAATTTAATTTAATGTAATGTAATTTAATTTAATGCAATTTAATGCAATTTAATGTAATTTAATGTAATTTAATTTAATGTAATTTAATGTAATTTAATCTAATTTAATCTAATTTAATTTAATTTAATTTAATTTAAATTAATGCAATTTAATGCAATTTAATGTAATTTAATGTAATTTAATGTAATGTAATGTAATGTAATGTAATTTAATGTGATGTAATTTAATTTAATGTAATTTAATGTAATTTAATGTAATTTAATGTAATGTAATATAATTTAAAATTTAATGTAATGTAATGTAATTTAATTTAAAATTTAATGTAATGTAATGTAATTTAATGTAATTTAATGTAATGTAATGTAATTTAATTTAATGTAATTTAATTTAAAATCTAATGTAATGTAATTTAATGTAATGTAATTTAATGTTATTTAATGTAATGTAACTTAATGTAATGTAATTTAATGTTATTTAATTTAAAATTTAATTTAATGTACTTTAATTCAATTTAATGTAATTTAATTTAATGTAATTTAATTTAAAATTTAATGTAATGTAATGTAATTTAATGTAATGTAATGTAATTTAATGTAATGCAGTTTAATGTAATTTAATGTGATGTAATGTAATGTAATTTAAAATTTAATTTAATTAGTTTAATTTAATTAATGTAATTAATTAATGTAATTATTCCCCCCGCAGTCAAGGCGGACTCCAACCACACCATCGGGGTGGAGTTCGGCTCCCGCCTCGTGGCCGTGGGCGGCCGATCCGTGAAGCTGCAGATCTGGGACACGGCCGGCCAGGAGCGCTTCAGGTGCCCCCCACCCCCAGCTCCAATTTATTCTTTTGGGTTTTTCCCTTTTTTTATCCATTTCCCCATTTTTCCTCACTTTAGGCTTCTTTTTCACGTTTTTTTCCCGGAGTTTTTCGCGTTTTTCTTGGGTTTTTTCCTCATTTTTTCCTTATTTTTTCATCATTTTTTAATTCTTTTTTTCCTCATTTTTTACTCATTTTTTACTCATTTTCTTCCTCATTTTTCCCTCATTTTCCCCAATTTTTTCCTCATTTTTTCCCCATTTTTTCCCCATTTTTTCCTCATTTTTTCCTCATTTTTTCCTCATTTTTTCTTCATTTCTCCTCATTTTTTCCTCATTGTTTCCTCATTGTTTCCTCATTGTTTCCTCATTGTTTCCTCATTGTTTCCTCATTGTTTCCTCATTTTTTTCCTCATTTTTCCTCATTTTTTCCCCATTTTTTCCTCATTTTTCCTAATTTTTCACCCATTTTTCCCCCATTTTTTCCCATTTTTTCCCCATTTTTCCCTCATTTTTTCTCATTTTTTCCCCCATTTTTTCCCCATTTTCCCCCCATTTTTTCCCCATTTTTTCCCGTTTTTTCCCCATTTTTCCCCCATTTCCCCCTGTTGTTGTTGCTGTTGTTGTTGTTTATTTATCCCCTGTTGTTGTTTATTTATTTATTCTCTGTTGTTGTTGTTGTTTATTTATCCCCTGTTGTTGTTGTTGCTGTTGTTGTTGATTTATTTATCCCCTGTTATTTGTTATTGATTCTCTGTTATTTTTTATTTTTTATTTGTTTTCTGTTGTTCCGTTCCCATTGTTTGTTGTTCCCAGGTCGGTGACGCGCAGTTATTACCGCGGGGCCGCGGGGGCGCTGCTCGTCTATGACATCACCAGGTGAGCCTCTGACGTCACACCGGGCTGGGTGACGTCACCGGGCGCGACTGTCATGTCCTTGGTGGGGGTGTGACATCACCAGGTGTGACTGTGATGTCATTGGTGGCTGTGTGATGTCACCGGCTGCGACTGTGATGTCATTGGTGGGGGTGTGACATCACCAGGTGTGACTGTGACGTCATTGGTGGGAGTGTGACATCACCAGGTGCGTCTGTGATGTCATTGGTGGCTGTGTGACATCACCGGGCATGTCTGCGATGTCATTGGTGGGGGTGTGTGATGTCACCAGTTGGGACAGTGACATCACACGACGGGGTGTGATGTCACCGGGCATGTCTGTGACGTCACGGTAGGGGGTGTGGCATCACCGGGTGCGTCAGTGACGTCACTGGGTGGGTCCAGGATGCCGTTGGTGGGTGTGTGACGTCACTGGGGCGCATCTGTGATGTCACCGGGTGAGCCTATGACATCATCACTAGGCATGTGCAACTTCAGTAGGTGTGTCTGTGACGTCATCAGTGAGTCTGTGACGTCACCAGAGGGTGTGTGACGTCACCGCGTGGGTCTATGGCCTCATCAGTGGAGGGTGTGACGTCAGCAGCTGGGTCTGTGACATCATCACCGGCAGTGACCGTGATGTCACCGTGTCGGTCTGTGATGTCATCAATGGGCCTGTGACGTCATCACCAGCAGTAACCGTGATGTCACCGGGTGGGCCTGTGACGTCATCAGAGGGTCTGTGATGTCACCGGGTGGGTCAGTGACGATTCCCGATCCCGAAATTCCATCCGGGAAACCTCGGGGAGCTGAGCGTGACGTCACTGTGGGAACTGATGACGTCATACTGTTCATTTATCACTTTCGCACCGGATTTTTTTCCTTTTTCCTCACTTTTTTCCCTTTTTCTTGCCATTTTGGGGTTCCCACGTGTCCCAAACCCCCGGAATTTTGGGGGTCCCAGCCGCGAGCCGTACAACGCGCTGGCGCAGTGGCCGAGAGTGACGTCATAGTGTCGATTTATGACGTCATACTGCTAATTTATGACGTCATACTGCTAATTTATCACTTTTGCACCGGATATTTTTTCCTTTTTCCTCACTTTTTTCCCTTTTTCTTGCCATTTCGGGGTTCCCAATGATCCCAAACCCCCGGGATTTTGGGGGTCCCAGCCGTGAGCCGTACAACGCGCTGGCGCAGTGGCCGAGAGTGACGTCACAGTGTTGATTTATGACGTCATACTGCTAATTTATGACTTTTGCACCGGATTTTTTTCCTTTTT